CCTAGCTCCTTATCTACAGGACCTTCATATGGCCGTGTTTTAGAGACGTTTTGTGTGTGACACGATCCTGAAATCTTTGGAGTTGAGGGTGGATTCGGTGCAACAACAAGCCACCCTATCTCATCTGGTGGCTTGTTTTTTCCAGTTGGAGCCAGGTGTGGCACTGATTCCTGATTCCTGACTCTCCCCTTCCCAGCCCTTACCTGTTACTCCTTCCTGCAGTGCCACTGTTTATTGTTTTTCATGATGACGCATGGTAAGCCAACAGCAGTTCCGGTGACTACCTGGTGGGAGCTCATCTGGTGACCTTTGTTCATCGGTGAAGCCCTTTCATCTCTGATGTTTGCTTTCATTGAGGTTTGTCAGAGGAATTTTTATACCTTTTCTCCCTTGTCCCACATGCCTGTTTCCTTTCCTCCTCATCAGGATCCTTTGTCATGTCAGCATCTATCTGAGGCAGAGTAAGACCTCCCTCACACAACAGGCTATAGAACCTGCTCCACAAAGTTCGTGGGGTTTTACTCACGTCCGTTTGTAGTTCCCAAAAAGACTGGGGACTGGAGGCTGGTCATTGACCTGTTCCGTCTCAGTCGATATGTTCACACCCCTTGCTTCACCATGGAATCCTATCTTACTCTTTGGTGGACTTTTCTCTGAGTCTTTGGATGACCAAGATGGACGTCTCCGATGCTTATTTGCATATTCCAATATCAGAGAGTTCTCATCCTTGTCTTTGGTTTGACCATTGTGGGATGGTATACCAAATTCGTGCCCTACCATTTGGGCTAGCATCGATACCAAATGTTTTCTGTCAGGTGGTGCAAACCTTTTCTCTACATCTTCATGCCCTGGGGTTGCACTTTCACTTTTACGTGGAAGACTGGCTTCTTCTCACTCTTTCCAAATAGGAGTTGGCTTGTCATACTCCTTAGCTACTTGTTGAGGCTGCTTGGGTGGGCTGGTTGATCAAATTGGAGAAGTACCTAGTTCATCAGGGTGTTTTCTTCAACATCCATCTCAGTTGGGCCCAACCTTCTGTTCTCCGGCTTTGTTCTATGGAACTGGCCATTTGGAACACCCTGTCTGCTCCTTAACTTTTTGCTTGTGAGGTTTTATTGCTTTTAGGGAAGTGGTCTTCTATGACTCCTTTCATATCCCTCGGCTGGGCTCATATGCAATCCCTTCAATGAGTCAGATGCTTTTGTGTGTGTGTAGGGTACATCTGTTTTTCCCTTGTACCAGTCACTCCTCCTTTTCAATATGGGATTGTAGCTAATCGTGCGAAGTACTATATTGGAAGTTATAATTTTCTTATACTGAAAATGTATTTCCAATAGATACTTCCCTCTTCCCCCGTCCTTCTCACAATTTTCCAGTGCTTACGTCATCTGCCGAACTTCGAAGTGATGGTTCAGTAGTGGGACATAGAGGGAGTCATGTGATAGTAGTGCTATCCTATTGGTGGAGAGATAATGCATGAGAGACATGTTGGAATCTTTGATTCCAATTGGGGAGGGGGGGTGCAGAAGGTTTGTGACATGTGTTATAAAAAAGTTTGCATATAGAGAGCAGCACAAAATGAGAAAAGGAAGGAAGAACCTATCAAATAATTAATTAATTATTCAGTTAGCAAATACCATTAATTGCCCAGCTGTAGCCACATCAGTGACTTTCTTGACATTTTTGTATGCATATTTCTATTAATCTTAGTATCCTTGATTTCATGAGAGTTTTATATTTTTGAAAGCTTTGTATTTATTATTTAACAATAATTTGTTTTTCAGTATAGGAAGCTTTTTTTGGATTCATTGTCTCTGAAAAAACAGTTATTTCTGTAAATGCTGCTTGTTTAAACTTGTTTCATAAGCTTCATTTACATCTTACCTCTTTACATCAGTAGAGCTTGGTGATTTGATATAATCAGGAACATATGATCAGTAATTACATCAGTTAATCAAAATTGCAATTAAATTAATTAACCAAAATTAATATTTCCAATTATAACTGTTTTTGATTATTCCAAAAATTGATTAATTGAAATCTAATTGTATTGATAGTCATGAAAATAGCTAATCAAAATTAGTGTTTTTGATTATTCCAGCAATCATTTAATTAAAATTATGATTAAATTGATTGTCACTAAAATAATCAGTTAATTAAAAATTATGGTTCTGGTTAAAATTATTATTGATTATTCTAACTATCCAAGTAATAGAAATACTGCAACCAAACTAGTTTGCTTTGTGATTTGGAAAAACTACTAAGGCTATCTGCCACTGTTGCTAATTTTGAACTGCTGGCTAGAAGGAATGCAACAGGTTGGCAGCATGCACTACTAACTTTTATTGTTTAATTGGTTGAAGATACCATGGTTTGAGGAACACTGTACTAATTGATTAATGAGGATGTTAAATAATTAATTAACAGGTCTCTCTTATAGTATCTTGTCTTACAATAGCTGGAAACTGGGAGAAAGCTACCTGAATCACAACAATCTGAATGAAGAAAGTGGTGGTTAATGTTGTGTTTCGTGTTGGAATGACAAGAAACTTAAAATGTAGGATAATGTATGAATATAAGTTTATTGAACGTGAAGCTAAAAACACTATTAAGAAAGTGGAATCATTTAAAACTTCAGTAAAGTAAAATCAAACATTGTAGAGAAAGTACACCCAATCAAGTTCAGAATGTATAATATTTAAAATCCAACTAATTTATTTTAAATGTGGATTTTGTGTACCTTTTTAACATAGTATAATAAAACTATATTACTATTGAAATACCTTTCTTCTGTACAATATAAAAGTACTTAAAACAATGAGAAAGACTGTTTTTAATGTCTTGGAAATTATTTTTGGTGAATTTTCTGTATGAATTTCTTGATTATTGCCACATAGTTATTTACATAAACTACACATGCAGCAATATTTCTAACCTTTTCACGAAACAAAGGCAATGTTGCAAAACCCAATACATTTATAATCTGAGAAAGCTGATTCTTAAGTCTTTAAAAATGGCTGAGACATAAGTGTGTATGCTAGTGGAATTTTAAAATAAAACATTGTAATTTATTGTATTGAAACATAGTATAATTTTTGTTATTAAACTGTAGCAAGAAAATTCAATCTTTACCATTACAAATGTTCTTTTAGAATGCTCATGAACCTCTAGAGTTCTGTAGGTCTTAGGTTGAAAATCATGAACAAACAGCAAATTTTCTCATTTTTTGTTTTTGGTAATGTATTTTAGTAATAATATCAACGAGAAATTTGATATCTTTGATTAGCAAGGATGTATAACATACCTAGTGTGGAAAAACGTTTTTCAGGCTAGTCTGTAAAGAGCCTTTTAATCAGTTTTGATTGCTTTTGTATAATAATGTGTTAAAAAATGAGGATTATAACTAGAGGTATAAATTAAGCTTTTAATTTTAAACTTACTAATTTTTCAGGAAAGAAAAATTTAATCTTGTGATTCATTTATTATTAGTTGTTTTTTAAGATATGTTAAGTGGGTAAATTATTAGAAGTGCAAGTTAACAACTTCAGAAACTTAGAATTAAATGTATGTTCTTAAGCATCATTGTAGAAAAAATAACTTCTGCATAATAGTTTGTCTATTGAAGTGGATGTGTTGATCATGAATTTAAAAAAGTTTCAACTATTTTCTTTTAGTTTAGAAGAAAGAGTTTGATCTAACAATAGTTAACTTCAGTGTGCTTAAGACTTGTATAACAATTTGTTTATAGATATTAAAACTTTCAATATTTCCATGATTTCAAGAAAGAAAGTCAAGTTATGCAACAACACAAACTGAATTTCTAATTATGATTGAAATAGTCTTGTTACTATACAGACTACAGAAGATCCTTCAGTTATGGATAAAAATATTTTATTGTACAATACAAATCACCTTTAGTGTGTTTTATTGTAACTTCATATTGCAGTTTTTTTTTGTTGCTGTGTTATGAGCCAGTAACTGAAAGTGTAAAGTGATTGCCTTATACTCAGGTTATATGGTATTTCTTTTTTGTAATATGTGGCTACTTTCCTTTCATTATTTAGACCTTATTTTTATATATACGAGTTTCTAGAATTTATTATTGGTCTAGTGTGTGTCGCAATCATTCTAAACTTTTAACAACCTGTAGCTGTTTCATGCTGTTTAAATAAAGTGACCTTCTAAATTTTAATAATAAATTATTTTATTTATAGTTATTAATACATAGTTCAAAGTACTACTAAAAATTTAAAATAATATCAATTTCTTTTAAACCCACAGTAACTTTTTTAAAGTTTCATCATTCTAAAATTTTCACATAATAATTAGTATCAATAACCACTTTTTTTGTGAAACAAAAGTATATTCAAAACATTTGTTTATCTTAACTCTGTGATGCCTTTACTCCACTAAGTCTTTGTCCCTATACTCTTCTGGGGACATAGATTCTCTGTAGATCCTTCCTCAGTTATCATTCTGGTAGAATTTCCTTAAAAGTAGATCCTGATCTGTTTTGCACTTCAGAAATTTGTAGCTCACCTCATGTGTTTCACATGTATGTTTGAAACTTCAAACAAAAAGAGTGTGTAAACTATGAATTGTGAAAAGAGTTATACCAGAAAGGTCTGTAAAATATGTTTTCCCACCTCCATTATGTGGATTGGCTGTAATATTTCAGAAATAAAGGAGACTAAAAGTTATCTTGAGTATGGACAGGTTTTTTAACACAGCAATTTATAGTCAGTATGTGAATCTATTCAATTGTCTCTTGTGTGTTTCAGGTGAAGTTATTTTTTGTTTTTTGTTTTTCAGGATCTTAGATTGTTATATTGTGTTTTGTGGAAGAGTGAAAAATTGCAATAATGTCCAAACAATCAAGAAGAATCTGGCAATGGCATTAATTCTTAAAGATGTGAGTGCACATTTTGTAATGAAACTTATGCCAACAGTGCCACTCGAGTGAGAAATATTTTACAAAATGTAATAAATGTCCAAGAAAATTCAGGAAAGTCAATGAAGACTTTGAAAGTGTTAAGTCAACACATGGAGACGCTCATTAACTATTGAGGCAAATATCTTATCTATAATATTTTATTAGATACAGCCTAAATAGGCAATTAGTCTAATTTATTTAGATGTGTGTGACCTAACTTAGATTCTCCTTGTTATGTGTGGGTGCTCATATATCAAAGGAATATATCCAAAACCAACCTTAAGTAACAGGGATGGGTAACATTTTCCGTTCAATATTTTAAAATATTTTAACTCCATGAGTATGTAATTTTAATGAAGGTAGGGATATACTCACATGAAAGCCAAATTTAGAACATGCATTTTCCCTGTGGGTAGTATGAATTGCTTAACTTTCTATTAATGTACTTTTAGTGTTTCAAAATGGATACTAATTTACAGTTTGACTTAACTATATCTCCTGCACCTGTGAATGGACAGGTTTGAAAATGAATGTGGACATGTGTACATTTTAAAGACCTGTTTAAAATTCATATCAATATTACTGTGTTATTTCATTAGAAGTGTCAACGTTTCCTATAATTAATTTGTCTTACTATATGTGGATGTAGGCATTTAGTTTTACTTCATATAAACTACAACTGGTATTTTAACTTCCTTTTTTCTCCTATTGTTGTAAATGTAAAGTGTTTTTTCTCATTGATGTATGAAATTAATGTGGCATAACAACAGTATAGTATAATACATGTATACTCCTGTTTATATATAAAAGTGTAAGCCTGACTGAATGGTAATAAAAGCTGTTCATCAATTAACTACCAACAACTGATTAGAAATTTGTTTTCCTTCTTATTTAATGCAGGAAGAGGAACATTGTATTTCGACCCAGTTATCCAACACAGGCACAGGACTTCAACAGACTTTCTTCATCTAAGAACAGAAAGAACTTGAAAAATGTGTTGCAAGACCTTTATATTCAAGTTGCACACCTCTTATTTGCACTGAAGACACAATTTGTATTTCCTTTCTTAAATTTTCCTTTGGTTGATGAGTACATATTGGTGTAAAGTGTTGTTGAGAAGATAGTTCAAGCAGATTCTTTGACACTGATGTTGGTTAGATGGACTAATGTGAAGGAAAACCTCTAAATCAGTTTGGTTGCACAACTCGTGAACCAGTGTTTGGTTTTTTTTTGTATCAAAATCATCCAATCATAAACTGAAACTTTCTATGTTAAGTTTATGGCTAAAGTCTTCAATGATGCCATGAATCAGGAAGATAATTTAAAAGCTGCATGGGAAACATTTAAAGAAAAAATATTGTCTCTTCATCGTCTATGGTTGTCTAACTCATGCCTTGAACCTGTTTACTAAGGACAGTTGCAAAAGTAAAATTTTGAACAACTACAAACTGTTAAGCAGATTAGAAATTTCTGTCAGGAAGAACACATCCAGTAAAAAATACCCAAACATAGTCAACTAGAAAAAGAAGAAAAGAGATTGCATTATTATGATTGGTGGATACTTATTAAGGATCATTTACCAGGTGCTTGAAAATACAACTTAAACTATCAAGCATTTGCAGGTGGCTGTTATAGACCCACATGTTAGTCACCATTCCCTTTCAAACCTCCAAAAAGTATATTCTGGATGATGATTTCTAGGTACAATTTTAGCTTTGTTGCCTCCAATCTTGCATGCAATCATCAAGATTGAAAGTGACAACTGTTGCTGTCTCATGTGGTTCCTGTCTTAAAAAGATAGGGCAGCACTGTAAAGACCTTTTGTAATCATCACACTTGTCAACAATAATTAAAATTACATCATTCTTTACTATCCCAGTATAAGTTTCCAGAAAGGGAAATATATATTAGTATTTCAAATGTGTTTTGCTCAATAACTGAGCTCATCAGGTAACCTGAGTTACAACACACGCAGTTTTAATTGGAATGTTATTTATGTCAGTTGTTTATGAGACAACAGGTCTTATTGTGTAGAATGTTTTAACTCGTGATAGAATGTCACAGTAACATTTTGTATGCTAAAACCAACAGTGGAATAAACAGCTAAATTGTTATAATGCACTATCATCCCCACCTCCTCCAAAATGATGATCCTGTACATTGGCAACAGGAAAAAAAAACAGCAGTGTGGAATGATAATAAGAAGCAAAATCTGGCAGCTGCTTCTGCAAACACCAGAAGGACTATAGCCAGGGAAAATCAGGAAGAAGAAATTAGTGATGATGAAGGATAGAAAAGTAAAAAGTCAATAATAACAAAAAAACTCACAGTGACACTAGAGCTATGGTCCCTGCATATTTTCCACACTAAGCCACTTCAGATGATGACCATAAAGCCAAGGACCAAGTCTGAGCTTGTCATTCCATAAGTACAGTTTTCATTGCTCTTGCAATATCTAATCATAATGCCTGCCACAAATCAGACTTTTGAGGGCTTGAAGTGACTTGTAGACAGTGAATTTGAGCTGTTAAGTCATTTATTTCTGTCGTTGTTGTTCAGAAATTCTGAAACAAAGTGCTCTTAAAAATTGAAAAAGCACTCTAACAAAAATGAAAATAAATCTTTATAGTTATTTATGCATCTGCCTCGTAACTTTATTTAAGGCAAAGTTACTAAGTGAAGAAGTTACTGGTACTAAATAGCTGTCTAACACTGACAATATTTATTGCTAGCTACGTGTTAAATATTCATTAAGAAATCTAAATATGAAAACGAAAAATTGTGGAACATTTGCTACAAAATAATTTCTCCAAAACATCAACATATCTTTTTTGTAACACATTTGATATACTGCTACAAGTATAATATTGTGAGCCCTACTTAGGGTAGACTTTCTGTTGTCTTGATTCCATGTCTTAGCTGGGTATGGTTCAATATACTGTGACTGTGTAAGATTATAATGACAGCTTAAAATTGCCACATTATGTTTATTGCAAGCATAAATTGGTTGGGTTACATTAGGTGTCGTTAGCTCAAGAATGAGCATAGGTAGTGGAATATACTTGAATTTCTTGTGTCAGCTGTGACCATTCAATTCAAAACTGAAATAATGATAGTCTTACAGAAGTCTCTATCTTCCATTTGTGCTTCAACCCCCTCAGTTCTGCCATCTATGAAAATGAGTGCCAGAATACTATAATGATCAAGGTGGAGAGTTTCCTACTTTAGATGTAAGCCCAAGCAGTTCTGTTTGTAGAGCATCAACCTTGGAATACTGCTTTTGAGCTAAAGGTCTTAAATTCAACCACAGATATGGTAGACTTTTAACATCCTTGTTTTTTATATGAGGGGGGTGAGCATGGTTGGAAAGGTAGCAATAAAGTAACCTTATAGTATTATCAAATAAACATTTTTTTAAATTATCTTCTGGAATTTCCTACAGCAGTATAACTCAATATAAACATCACAGTCTTGAACATTGTGTGTTATAATATTATGTATCATGTTATACATATAACAGTAATAGCTAAGAAATGCAACTAATGTAACACTACTCAACTTCTTTATATTTATTTTGAGAAAACATGACCTAATACATTGTATGAATTTACAATTTGAGGTAAATTTTGTTTTGGAGTATCAGAAAATTACTATCAAAGTATGTTTTTGGGACATCACAACAAGTCCAATTGTGTATGTGTGTATATATCTTGAAAGAGTGTAATATGAAGACATGAAAATTAGCTAGCTTATAATCTCAAATTATGCCCATACAACAGTAGTTTGAGTTGGTTGTTATTGGTATTATGTTTCTACTTGAACTTTCTGTGAAAGTTATTCATAGTTCATTATTAACAAGTTTATACCAAAAAGAAGCAAGAATTACAGTTTTAATGCCCTGAACAAGTAGCTTGTTTCACAATGGTGCAAGTTCTAAATATTTTATTGTGTGGTGGTATTAGAAACTATTGACATATTTATTTGGATTTGTACTGTTGGATCACACTTGTTTCAGAAGTAGTATAAGCTTATATTTGTGTATCTGTGTGTGCGTCTTGTTATCTGTGATGAATAGATTGTTGTTTTTGATTTACTGTGAGTGTTTTAAGACTTTACTCCGTAAAGCAACCCTTTATATAGATGTAGTATTGACAAATCCAAATTTTACCATACGTGTAGCTTTACTGAACAGAAGAAGAACAACCAAAGAAAGAGTCTACTGTCACATTTGTAACAAAACATTTGGAAGGAAACAAGATTTGGATGCTCATCTGAGCTTACATCTGCATAAATCGTACAGGAAGAAGTATTACTGCAGTGTTTGTAACAAAGCATTCTTATGGAGGAACAATATGTATGCTCATAGAAAGAATGTACATAAATTATCCACAAAATCGTGTTTTTAGTTGAAATTGTTTCTCTCTTAATCCATTGAACTATTAGAAAAACTATATTCATGCCAAGACTAAAGTTGAACAATTAAAAATAAGATTCTACAGATTATTAGGCTTCTAAAGCTATATATGCGACTATGTATGTTGTGTGATATTAGCATTTTGAGAACAAGGACACAAGTTACTTTTGTTAGTACATATATTAAGGTGAGGATAATTAGTAAACTAATTATGAAAAGCTTAAAATAATCCAGAGGTTTGTTGTTTGTAATTTGAATAGTAGGTTTTAAGGGGAAAAAATTGTATAGTTAGACCTGTAGCCATTGATCTGTTACTTTTGCAAATAGTTATTTTATCTTTTGATGTTTAGTTACTGTCATATGTCTGTGTTAGGTAAAAATTTTTTAGCTTGACATTGAAACTTATATGTTGATTTATCATTAACTTGTTCTTCCCATTTAACATTAAACGTGGTACAGAGCCTAATACTAGTGATGGTACAATATTTGTTCTCTAAAATAATGATCACCCTTGAAAAACCAGTACCAGTAAAAATTCTTCATTCAGATTTAGGGATATTTTTATAGCAGTATAGTTTTATCAACATGTGGGCTGTGTGCAGCCTAGTGGTTAGCATGCCATGTATTAAATCTGCAGTTCCATGCATCACATTTCATTATCACAGCAAAATTACAACAATAATATGCTCTACATTTCAGGGTTGTTGGTTTGTTATAAGAGTGATGGTTAAATCTCACTATTCGGTCTGACCAGAGTTGGCAGTAGGTGGTATTAACTAGCTGCCTTCCCTTTAGTATGTCACTTCAAAATTAGGGATGGCTAGCATAGATAGCCTTTGTGTAGCTTTGCAAGAAATTTCACAAACAAACGTATCAGCATAATGTGAATTCAGTAATGAGTACTGAGACAACTCTCTAGCTTCAGGAATGTATGGATAAAGCAAAGTTTAATTTGTGAATATGATGTTCATCTTATGTGTGTAAATGACAGGAGTGCATTACGATGTACTATTAATAGTAGTATTTTTATAATCTTTACATATAGGCAGTGATAGAGCTAGGATTACAAAAATTAAATTGCCATGAACTATTTAGAAGTTACATAAGTCCTTGATGTCAGGTATTTAGTTAAAGTTCAACTTAGTATGAGACTATCTACGCAACTTAGAATAAAGGCATATTAATGGAAACTAGCTAGTACTAATATGTAAAATTTAAAATGTATCTGCTTAAAATGATTATAAAAGTATTAAAATTTCAATTTAACACATTAAATTTAAAAAGACGATAAAGTTTTATTTATAGGGGTGCACACTAAACTTTGGGGGTACCATGTATCTTTGTGATTATGCCACCACCATTGTGTTTTAGTCAGAAATCTAAATGAACTTCTAAAGAATGATTAGTGCAGTTGGAGAATCATTGTTATATACTAGGCAACTTACTCTGATGTTTGATTGAAATTCTGCTTGAACAGTAAAACTGCATGTATGTACATAACATTATCTATGTTTAGAGTTGTATAAAAATGATAAGTTGAAAAACATACTTGTAAATAGGATTTCATATACAATACTATACCTCTGATTGGACAATAAGTTAATATTAAGTACTGTCTTTCTAAGCTTTTTTCCAGTCATTTCCAGTGAATCATTATGAGATGTAGCTCATAAGTTCTCATTCTTTGAACAATCATGATAATTTCAGTTCATCCTTTTGTCTGTATTAAATGTCATTCTTATATAAACAACAATTCTGTCAAGTTGATTACTCAGTTCTTATCTTTTGTACTACAATATATTAAACGTATTGAACGTAGGGTAATAAATGTTTATCATACGAGAATACATTAATTGAAAAAAAAATCCATACTTTCACCAGTTGGATGGCCTTGTACATTATAAAAATGTAAACACATAAACAGAAGTTACAGACACACATATACACAGGGTGATTCTGAAGCCTATTGATAAGCAGATGTGTTTCAGAAATAGAGGTATTGAAAGATAATTGTTAGTGGTATAGAATGAAATGTTGTGGGCCTACCATGTAACAATATCATTTAAGGTAATTCAAAATAATTTGGTTTGGAAAAGTTATTAATATGAATTTTATGTTCAGTATATCAATGGCAAAGGTGTAGGTAATAACAAATTAAACACTTTTAAACCAAAAGTTATTAAATTCCCTCTTCCTGAGCACATTAGATGTAGGCATAAAAATATTCTTTCCATGCATGTTTAGTTGTGCCACAGATTATCAAAATCCAACTATAGTAAAGGTTTAAGTTGCAAAATCAGACTTTTTATAAACAGATTATTGCATCTTTCTGAAAGGCTCAGTAGATTAAATATTATCGAAATAAATGCTCTTTACATAAGGTAGCACACAAACAGTTGTGCTGTAGCTGTTATGAAATAATTTAAGAGTACAGAATTTAGTTGAATAATAGTTTAACATGGTCCTACTGTATGTTGTGAGTGTCAACAGAATGACCAGGATGCTGCCACAATGTATGGTGACCAGTTCCTCAGTGAATGTCATCTTACACATCAGATGAGAGGAAATGTGTCTACGTAGCTGCACATTTCAGGTTCATTTATGCATAGATGCTGTGTGAGAGGATGAAGGACAGCAACTAGTTTCAGCAATGTAGCTGCCATACTTGCATTTGTCATATTTCAATAACACTTTGAACACAGCTGTTGGCCATTTGACACTATAACTAGTGTTGATGTGGATTGATCTTGGTAATTTTATGTTTAAAATATTTAATTTATTATGGTCTACATCTTTATGATTGAAATTTTTATTTTATGATGCATGTTAATAAAAGTTTTGAAGAACATGACCTTGAATGATCTCAATAATTCTGTCCCTGGGAAGGCCCAAATCACCTCATTCTGAATTTTTTACAAGATATGTACATATTCTTTTTTATGAAGTACTAAAGGATTTTCTATATATTATAATTTTATTCTTCATTTTCAGCTTAGGAGGAATAACATAATTCAACACATAAGTGTGCTTATTCATTGCTACAAGACTCAAAGTTTTAGTTAATAAAAAACACCCATTCTCACTGTTTATCTGTTCATATATCTGTTAGTACATTTGTTGTGTTGTTAAATTTCAAAAACATGTATCATGCACAGTGAATGTTTGTATTATAATATGCTTCTAATTGATTGCCATTATTTATATATGGTATATTAATTTACACGTACAACACTATTGTTAGGTGCTATGTAGGACATTTATTACCAAAGTATCGAAAACTGAAGAATGTAGAATTACCAAACCATGTACACAGAAGTTGAGAGTATATTAAGACCATTTTGGAGCCTCACCATCACGTAACAGTCTATGTTACTATGTCCAGTAATATTCTATCTTTAGACCATGCATCTTGACGATACTCCTGCATTATATTTACAATTGTAAAAGGCTCTGTACTAGGGCTGTCATCTATAAAACACACCACTCTTTCCTAAAGGCTTTCCACAATCTATCCAGGTATGAAAATTGTGGTTTCCTGGTATCTGTTTTATTCTCCAACTGCTTGAGATATGTGATGATTGAATGAGAAGAAGACTTATCTTGGTAAACCTATATACTGTTGGTCTCCTTTCCAGAAAGAGAACCTTTTTGGTTATGTTGCACAAGGTAGCCTAGGACATATGAAAGGCTTTTGCCACTGACTTTTGTGTTTGTGGATTCTCACCTGCTAGAAAATGTTGCACTTTGCTTACATTGGCTGAGGAATGACTTTTTGCATGTCTGTCTTGGGTGGTCCTGTTCCTCCAAGTTAATTTATATTATTTTGTTTACCAAGGTGATTGAAAACAAGGGATATCCCTGTTTGGAAATTTTAAATATGTGATCTGAATACATCTTTTTAATCGGGGTGTATGAATAGTTGCCATGAGAAAGGGCTTCCCAAAAGCAGTTTTCAGTAGCATCACACTATCTATCGAATGTCAAACAATATCCAAATGTAGTTTTGATACACCCCACTCCACTTTGACCCTATATTTGATTAGGTTGTCACATAGCATGCTTATTTGCATATTCAAAATTGTTTTAATATAAAATTCAACCCTCTGTACACTCAATTATTATGTGTGACCTCTAGAAATAAAACCATTTCATAGTGAAAATCACAGTTGTTATTACTGGATTTACTTTTCTTATGCATTGCTTTATTTATAGAATAATTGTGGAATCAATGTACTACCAGAGACAGATTAATAAGTTGAATTTCATCAACTGTTTTAGTGAATTTATTTTGGAAAAGAGTACGTATCTGGTAAAAATAAAGTTGGATGCATTTCAGAAAAAGTTTGGCTTTTAATATTAATAGGTTTAATATTAATTGGTTGAATAAATTTATTGAAATCAGAAGTTAATGTGCAAAATTTTTGGTGAGGCCTGTGGCAATTCAGAAAGATTTCTTTAAAGTGTGGTTTTATAGGGAATTTCGATTCACTTTACTAACTTCCAACCCTGCAGTAGTTTATCCACACAATATATTTTGTAAACATAGAATTTAAAATTTTCTAAAATTATTGTTTTAAAAAACAAATTTTTCTATGATAATTTCTTAGAAATTTATCTTTCTAAAAATAAAACTAGAAATGTAAAAATTTTCTATGTCTTACAGAAATGGGAATAATTTTGAGTTATATCAACTTCTGTTAAGTCATACCCTTTAAAATTGTTAAACATTTTATTTGCATATTTATTTGTTATAAATTAAGCTTTATTAACAGAATTTAATTAGATGTTGAGTTAACATTGACACATTGTTTCTGTATGTTACTTGCAACTACACTTATTTAAATTTTCATATATTGAAGATTTTTGTGTTCAGACTCAGTTTTAATGCAAATTATTTGCAACTTATCAATAAGTGTAAAAATATAAAACTTTTTGTTTATTTAGTAGTCCTTAATTACTGTTCAAAATACTTAACTACATTTGATAATGAAATCAAAAAGTCATTTTGTAGAGAAGGAACTAGATGTTAAAGGAAATCACTTTTTATATATGAAAATACCCCAAAAAACCTTAGGCTGTTAAAGATGTATTGTGAAAATTATTAATATATATATATTTGCAGGTGGGTGTTTTCCTTGTCCTTTATGCATGAAGGTATTTACTTTTTCCACAAATATGAAGAGACATTGTCGCACCCAACATGGTGGGGCGCCATTTTACTACTGTAATATTTGTCAGAAACCTTTCGATAGATCTGGTTCATACAAATCACACTTGCAAGCTGTGCATGGAATATTGGAAAGGAGAGGAAGACTGGTGCAGTTATGAGCTATCCAATAAGTCTACACCATCCTTCTGACCCAGATCTATAAGTTAAAAAAATGCTGAACATTGTATGTGTAATTTATCTTTGGAGGATGTACAACATTTAGTGTTATGTATGTCTAGTTAGCTCAACAATATGTATTATGTTTGCTTTTCTTTTATGTGTTTGCATCATAAGAAAGCTTGTTTTTTTTTTATATATAAACATAAAGATTGACACTTTGTATATAATAATGTAACTTCAATCATTGATAACTGCCATGATATTCTTAGTCCAAGTAACAATAAAATGACATTGCGATTTTTGTTCAATTAAGTACAACAAGACAAGTGAACATCTCTTAAAATAATTTTGTTTGAAATAAATTTAGGTATGTGCACGTGTATACATATGTCATTGATGATAATTTTATTTTTAATGTGAAATATTTGGTTTTTTGTCTTTGCTTTGACTTTCTAGAATTTGATGTTAAGAAACTTGAGGATATCTTTTAATTGTATTATCTAATTTTAGTTTTTATTTTAATAATTTATTTTTATTAATTGCTATATTGTTACTTTATATTATATTCTGAAAACTAATAGTGCAAAGAATTTGGAATATGTAGATATTTTAAAGAAAAAAAAAATGTAAATAGTAATTTCATTAAGCAATGTTTGATACCTACAGGCAGGAAGAAACGTGGCCCGTATAAATGTACACTTGGAAATCACTGTTCCTGGTGTTTTAAAACCTTCAAGCATAAAACTCATCTTTCAAGACACATTCGTTACCACTGCAAGTTCAAACCAGAAAGTTTGAAAACAGAAAAGTTCATGTGTAGCAAATGCAGTAAAAGTTATGCAAGACTGGAGTCTTTAAAATATCACTTAGCTATCTGTAAAGCATCAGTTGAGAATGTTGGAAGAGGAATACTTCCATTGAACTTTGAAGTTTATACAGAAGAAGAAGACCAAAATTATGATCAGTATAAGTTACTGAAGTCTATGTTGAAATGAAATGGAATAAAGAAAAAAGTTTAAAAACTTTTTGGTAGACTTCTTTTTCTGTTTCTTAAGAAAAAAATCAAAAGTTTATATGTTTAGTACAAATTCCCCTAATTGTTTAATTTTCTCAGGATTACTTGATCTATTATATCCATGTTCGTGGTTCTTTCCTATCTCTAGATTCCTGTAACCTAAACCTCCTTCCTTTCAGGTTTGAGTGGTAGATGTATACTTACATTCTTTTTTAAAGTTTCTTGAAATTTTCAAACCTAAATAAAATGAAAACTACACACCATAGAGCAGTAATATTTGGTGGATATACCAATAGCACCATGGGAAACATAAATCCTTGGTCACCAGAAATAATAATCATCATAGGGTGATTCGTGTGCATAATGTGGCCATCCATATTGATGATGACCTGCATCCTTTGAATGACATGATAGATAACTAAATAAAGCTGTCCAGCTATAAAGTCTATCAAAGTATCAGGTGCTCCTTGATACAAAAGTGACTAGTTATCTTCATAGCCAAAAATCAAATGGTTCATCCAACAACATGTAGTCATGTTAAGAGATTTAATAATTTCATTCAGCTGTGTATCAGATGATCCTAAGGATGCAGGCTATTTTAGAAACCACATTGACCAGATGCATCTCCCTTTTGTTACCAGCATTTGTCTTTTCTATGGTTTTGTTGGTGTATTTGCTAAGGATTATTGCTCTGAGCTGAATAGTATTCATTTTATTGATGACAAACTTTTAGATTAACAGGATTGGTTGTGTGTTTGTTTCTTATTATTTAATTATGTTCTTCAAATCTTCTTGATTAATTGCATTTTTGTTACTTAAACACTACTCTCTTTAGATTTATTTGGTATGTTTTTGGTATCTGTCTGGTACTTTTATTAAATTATCTTTTTTGTATAATAAGTTTTATTAATATAACTTAAGTAGATGCTGAGTTATTATTAACATTGTTTCTCTGTCTTATCCCAGTTACTTAAGCTTTCATACACTGAGCCTTGTCAGGTTCAAAGTTGTTTTTCATGAAATTACCAACAATTTATTGTTAAAAGTGTAATAACTTCAAGTTTTTTGTTTTTTTTGTATATCAGTGTCTCCTTATTTAGAATGAAAAATACTATAATATCATTTTAGAAGGAGAAAACAATTAAACTCAGTAGTTCAAGTGATTAATTCTGCCAAATTTATTAATTTTTCTCACTTCTCTCTAATTGATGTTATGTTTATCACCTGAGGTACTATTTCTCTTTGTATGCAGTGAACTTGCTGTGGTTATTTATATTTGATAGTGCATTAGTACCTTTAAAGCATATGGATAAATATATGCAAAAAATGTTACAAACTGTAAATAATAACTTGACTGGTAAAGAAAATTGAAAGAACTTAAAACTTCATGTGCTCCCTTTTGTATTTCTTTCAAAATGTTTTTCTGAGGATTTTATTGATTTATTATACTTTAAATTATTGCAACTTATGAAGCATACTGAATTTATACACACCTGATATATAT